AAGCATCTCTATTTACAGGCCATATCCCACATTTGCGAAAACCGTATGTAGCATTTACTATAGCAGCAGCTCTACCATAAGCTTCATTAAGAAGAAAAGCAACATGAAATTGCTAACTCCCATTCCAGCATGCTGTCTTAACCACTTTTCAATGGCTTGGTTATAGTATATTTCTAAAGTCTTGAAAACCGAAACATCTAGGGGTTGAAGCTGATGGGTCGTGTGGCCTGATAATTGTAAAATAATTAGACCATTGTCACGGGCCAAAATTATAGCATCATAATTTTTATAATGGGTAGTATGACCGTCCAATATCAAAAGAACTTTATTTTCCTTTGTAGGCTTAACCACTTCAATACATTTTTTTAACCAAGTAAGAAATAGCTCAGCGTTAATGTAGCCTATGTCTGATATCTGCATCAAACAGCCAGATGGTGGTCACTTCTGCTGACATTCGTAGTATTGACACCTCTTTCTCCGCTGGCAATAGTACCAATTTGATGTTTGCCCTTTGTGGCTAAAATTTTTTGATTACTTTTTTGGACTGTCGAGAATCTTGACTTGTCTACATTATATATTTTTGTGACATTTAATTTATTTTCATCGATGATTTTTTCAAGTTTATTAAAGAAATTTGTAACATTTTTTTGTTAAATCCTCTGCAACGTGCTAATGATGTTGCTTATAGTTGCCTTAATGAAAGGTTTTAGTGGCGTTTCATAAAATTGTAATACAACTTCTTCCCGGCCATCCCCATTCTTTTACTAAAATTATGTTTCATAAAAAATTTTTCTTCAAATTCAAATGCTGCTCTTCTGGTGTCCTTAATGATAAGACCAAAGAATACTTCCTTTAAAGCAAGAATATGTTTTTCCAGCCCTGCTTCCACCTCAATTAACAGAGAAAACTGTAAAAGTAATTAATATTTTTTACCGTTTAAAGCCCTTTTATTCGTTGTTGCTAGATGTCACTTGAAAGTAGGCTTAGGAACTTCGTATATGGTATATATTTCATTTAGACCATATTTTCCTGTTTTATATTTCGCAATGGCACAGTTTATAGCTAAAGAATCAGTTTGCTCACTCTGCGTCGGCACTTTTGATCTCAATGTTCCAGTTTATACACTGCGCAACTCGGATTTGTATCCCTGGCACATACAGAATCAAATCATAACCAATACAATATATGACAACAGCCTATATTCAAACAGCAGTCTTCTGCGCATCGTGAATTTGTATCCCTGGAATGGATAATTATTTTGGAACATTCAACTGGTCCAAGTGAGCTAACTGATTCTTTAGCAATAAACTGTGGCAATAGCTTCTTTTATAATTTTCTCTAACCACTGATAATATTTAAAATAAAAAAAGAACGAAAACCAAATGACGTCTGTAACAAAAACACTTTTATTTTTCTGACCTCTGTGATCTGAATAAAAACAAAGTATACAAATCCCAAATTTGACATGTGACAACGACAAGTATATGTGACGTCATCAGAGTAACCACAACGCTGTTACCAAGTATGTTGTGGTAAGCTTATAAAGAAATTCCTTAAGGTGGTGTAATTAACACTGGTGCACACTGCACTAACAGCGGAGAAAATAACCAAATGAGTGAAGCCAGAGAGATGTAGAAAGGGTTCGTTCGCTTCGCTAGCTCCAAGGCTTGCTCTTTCCTATACTTGTGGAAAGATGCACGTGGAACGAGCGTAGTGCGCTCTTATGGCGTAAGAGTAAAAAGGGTGCGCCCGGCCGACGTTTTGAAATTTGCGCGCGCGAATTTCGAAACATCGACCAGGTGCGCTCGCTTTGCTCGCTCTCATCTGTAGTGTTTAGTAAGTGGGTGGGTTAGCGTACTGTGCTCATATGGTGTTAATGTAAAAACGTCGGCCGGGCGCGCTCGCTTCGCTCGCTCCTTTCTGTAGTGATTAGTAAGTAGGTGGGTTAACGTACCCTGTTTTTATGGTGTAGGTATACAAAGGGCGCGTTCGATCCGCTCGCTCTCTTCTGGAGTGGTTAGTAAGTGAGTGAATTAGCGTACTGTGCTCTTATGGTGTGAGTGTAAAAAGTTTTTAGATAATTTAGGCATACTGCCTACTACTTACCTATTTATTTACTCCTATAATTTTCAGAAGCAATTATCTTTCAAGGACAAAATAATCTTTTGAATATCTAAAATGCTTTTTATTTTAAAAATAAAAAATGTTAAACGTCGTAATTTAAAAAACGAAGAATAAATTGAACATTCAGCTATCATCTTTAGTTGATAAGTCCTTAAATTTGGCTGGCTGGCGTCATTTGTCAAACAAATAAATTCCCTTGTTTCAAAAACGTATAAAAACTTTTGGATAACACAAAGTAATTGTGTTTAAAAGTTTTCGAAAAGTACATTGATTATTACATTATGTATGATGTAATATTATTATTCAATTATTATGTACTACAACAATTTAATAAAAATAGTCGGATATGGCTAGAAATAAATTTATAGAAATATTGCTTTTTAAAGTGTTTGGAAATATTATGTAAAAAATAAGGTAGGTACTTTTTTTTATTTCGTTTTCGTTGATTTTAATTGGACAGTTGGAAAAATCGCTCATTTGTATTGACGGAACATAACAAATATAATTCTAATGAATAAGTTTACATAAATAATCTTTTAATGATCCTCATAAGCCCTTAATACAGGGTAGCTGTTAAAGATGGAACCAAACCTATAGTGCTTAAACGCTTCAACATACAAAACCCAAAATTTTTAAATTTCAACTAAATATATTTGCGCATATTTTAGCCCAAAAATTATTTTTTTATAATTACAAAATTTTAAGCATGGCCGCCATCTTTATTTTTTTTAATAGCAACATAGGTCATGTGATATACCATTTGAAAGGGTTTAACACCCTGATTACAAAAATGTATCACACATGGGGTCTAAACACAACAGAAAGGATATTTAGCTCCTTATTAATAATATCCTTTCTGTTGTGTTTAGACCCCATGTATAATACATTTTTGTAATCAGGGTATCACAAGACCTATGTTGCTATTTACAAAAATTAAGATGGCGGCCATGCTTAAAATTTTGTAATTATAAAAAAATAATTTTTGGTCTAAAATAAGCGCAAATGTATTTAGTTGAAATTCTGAAATTGTGGGTTTTGTATGTTGAAACGTTTAAGCCCTGTAGGTTTGGTTCCATCTTTAACAGCTACCCTGTATATAATTTCTTTAGGAAAACGTTAATTTATGGAGTTTCCAATGGTATATTTAAATAGTACTCTCTTTCCAAAGCTCAAAATGTAAGTTTTGTAAAAAAATTGTATTTTTCTACGATCACTATACAAAGTAGGCTTTTGCGCTTCGAAATTCAACCGCAAAGTTGACGTTTTCCGTGAAATGACATTAAGTGATATTTGTCGCTCGTCGTTGCGACAAAATTGACAGCTTTGTTGCTCGCCTAATTTAAATTAGGTGTAATATATTGGTATTTCTTTTTATTAAATGATTTTCGAGTTATTTGTACGTAAGTTACATATTTTTTTGTTACATTATCCAAATTAACATTGTCTTCGAATATCAACTGCTATTGTCATGATGAATGTAGATATAGACAACACTACTTACGAAACATTTTCAATTTTTATTTATATTTCTTAATATAATGTGATCGTAGAAAAAATATTGTCGTTGCCTCTTTCTGTCTCAAGCTGCTCTTAATACACAAATAACTATTTAAGGAAAAGGGCGTCTTCCTAATATTTACCGAAATTTAATTTTTACATTTTATGTACGATTATTATCGTAAGTAAACCATAAATATATGATTTTTGATAACTTAAATTTTTTATAATCTGGCAATTTATAGATTATAAAATAATCCTGAAACTTATAATTTCATGAACAACTTGGCAACGTTGTTATTTTTAAGACACAATCTGTCACTTAGAATGAATATTTTGTGAATATAACCTGTAAAATTGAGTTTTTTGATTATTTTTTTTTTTTTTTTTTTTTTTCGAAAAATGCTGGTTCGTCCGTAAATTTTTTTACAAAAATGTACTACAGAAAGTAGTACCTTTTGAGTGTTTAATTTTTTTTTGCGAAATTCGCACCTTCAGATAGTAGGATGGACATCCTTTCTGAAATAAGCGATTCAATTATTCTTTCGTACTATTAGCCCGAATGTACTGTGGAACCATGACTAGGGATGGCAACGATATATCGATGTTATAAATATATCGATATATTTTTTAAATATATCGATATTTTTTAATCGATATATTGCTAGCTAGCGATATATCGAACAAATATCGATATACACATTTCGATATATCGGTACCCTAGTGAGAACTTTTGTCCACGCGGGTGAAGTCACAAGTCAGAATAAAAAGAAGAAGAACTATGTTGATGTCGATGTCATGTGTCAAAAGTCAAAAGTTTTTTAATTATTAATAATTATTAGCGCGTCGTGAGTATAAGAGTGATCTGTGGTATAAAGTTAGAAAGAATTTTTATTTTTGTTTTACATAAAAAACGGTGGTTTGGTAGTTATTAGTAATAGACAATAGACTAAAATAGAAATAGAACTCATTTCAGTGCGGTCTAGTGTAGTCATGGTACGCTTATAATATGGTACCACCAAAAAGTGGCATTTGGCAACACTTTACAAAATTAACTAAGGAACACGCTCGATGCAATATATGTTCAAAAACATTAAAAACATCAGGAAATACATCTAACCTTAATAACCATTTAAAACAAAAACATAGGAACTTCGAGATTTCTCAAGAAAAAAAAAAGATAACACAGAAAAAGATCAGAAGTCTAAGGAGCCCATAGCAGGATGTTCTGGAATAAATAAAGTAAGTTATGTACAACAAATATTTACTAGGTGTTTTTTGTGTTATATATACATATGCTTTACTTGTACAATTTTAATAAATATATAAATAGACTTATTAATAATTGCAATGATTCATTATAAACGTTTTAATTTCAGAATAGGACAGTTTTGGAAGGTGATACTGATATAACTTTATCAGAATCATCAACTGTATCAGTAGGGTCAACGAGTACTACAAGTATTAGTGTGTTTACTTCCTTGAGACAGCCCACAGTTACACAGTCAATGAAGAAAATCTCATCTTATTCAGGTAATAACACATAACATTTTTATCAGATGGTATAGTATAGTTAAGAACATTTACTATGTTTTTTTTTGTTATTTTTAGATGGTGGTCCCCATAATGTGAAACTGACTGAGGCTATTGTCAAGTTTATTGTAAAAGACAATATGCCCTTTAGTATAGTTGAAGGAAAGGGTTTTGTTAGTTTAATGAAACAAGCAGCTCCTTTGTACAAAGTACCCAGTAGAAATACAATAAAAAACCACGTTGATGTAAAATATGAGTCAGCATCTACTGCATTAAAGCAAATTTTAAACAATGTGCAGTCAATTACTATAACAACTGACACATGGACTGCTGATATGCAAACTAAAAGCTTCCTGGGTATTACTATACACTTCATTTGTGACTTAAAATTAATTTCTTGTACTATTGGGGTTACTGAACTAACCGAGTCTCATACAGCAGCATATATTGGATCCCAATTAATTGAAATTTTAAATACTTGGGGAATTAATCTTGAAATTGTAGTTGCTGTCGTAACAGATAATGCTGCAAATATTGTCAAAGCAGTTCATGACAAATTTGGAAAAGTAAAGCATGTTCCATGCTTTGCCCACACGCTCAATCTTCTGTGTGAAAACAGTATTAAAAATACGCAAGGTCTAAATGATCTTATTGAAAAAGTTCGATTAATTGTCGTTTATTTTAAAAGAAGTGTAAAAGCAACGGATCTACTTCGAAAAATACAGAGGGATGCAGGGACACCTGAAGGCAAATTTAAAAAAAAAATGATTTTAGATGTCAAAACTAGGTGGAATTCCACATATTATATGTTAAACCGATTTTTAGAACTTGCTCCACAAATCAGCAGCATTATTCTTTTAAATGCAGAGGCACCAGTTATGTTAAGTGGAGGTGAATTAGAACAGTTGAAAGAAATTCGAAGATTACTTTACCCTTTGGAGCAAATGACCATTGAAATTAGTGGTCAAAAATATGTGACTGTGAGTAAAATCATTCCGATGGCAGCATGTCTTTTCGAAAGATACGAAAACGAAACACAAAACCTAACCTATGAAATTGGAAAAATCATAAAACGGAACTAATAAAAGAATTTTATAAGAGATTTAGTTTAATTGAAAAATCACTTTTACCTGCAATTTCGACACTTTTAGATCCACGCTTTAAAAATTTGCATTTTAAGGATCCAATTGCAATTTCAAATGCAATAAGATTTTTAAAATCTGAGGTTTCTCAGAATGGATCATTTTCATCTTCATCTGATTCCGATGTTGTACGTCAGACAAGGAAGAAGAATTTTTTGATTTATGGGCATATCATAAGAAAATTGCTCATACAAAAAAGAGAAATGTGACTTCCGATGTCAGTGCTGATGAAGTAACACAATATTTAAGTGTTCCAGTAAGGAGTTTAAAGGAAGATCCTCTAGAACTGTGGGGAGAGATGAAGAATGTGTATCCAAATCTGTTTAAAATGACTATAAAATATTTTTGTGTTGTGGCAACGTCAGTACCAAGTGAACGACTATTTTCAAAAGCTGGTTTGACTGCTACGAAAAGCCGAAACCGGTTAACTGGCAAAAGGTTGTCAAAATTATTATTTTTGAGTTTCCTTCCAGAAAAGCTTGAGTTATTATAACAAAAATATTAAATGTATCGTTATAAATATATTATTATGCCTAATAGGTTTCATGTGCTATTTTTCAGTAAATAAATTTTGACATATTTATGGTATTATTTTTATTTCAATTGTTACATACTGAATTTTAAATACTAAACAGTATACTATTGGTAAGATATGGAATATAAAAGCTGTTTACGATATACTAATTTCGTAGGTAATCTAACTTGTAAAAATCTCATTCTATTTTTACAAGGTAATTGTTCACATTTACTACAATTTTATAATTGGCTAAAAAACTTAGGAGGACCTCTAATACAATGACAATGCAACCAACCTAATAAAATTGATCCTAATGACATAATTGAATCGGGTCACTCAAAAAGAGACTGTTTATAGACAGCTTTTTAACCTTTAAGTGTCAAAAAAACCTTAAATTAACAGGTCTTTTTTACGTTATGGGTACAACATGGTATGCAAACGGCATAAAAGTATATAAAAAACACCAAAAAGTAAACAAAAAAACAGCTTTAGGTTATTTCGTTCGTCCCACTGGTGTAGGAATGAACTACGCCAACGAACACTAAACTTTTCGTTTGGCCCGGTGTAAAACCCACTATATATTTCTGTAGGCGATGTGGTGTGTCCACATGTCTAGTGTAATCTGTATAATTCACTCCTGCTAAATAGCTGGTGGAAAAAATATCCACCAGTGGACACCATATCGCCGACAGGAAGGTGGTATAGTGGGTTTTACACCGGGCCAAACGAAAGGTTTATTGTGCGTTGGTGTAAGTCATTCCTACACCAGTGGAACGAACCAAAGAACCTAAGGAGATGTAACTGGTGTAATTTACACTGGTGGACACTGCACCAACAAAGAACGAAAAAGCCTTTTATGTCACCTGATTTCTTATGTCATTAGGGCCAATTTTATTTTATTAGGTTGGTTGCATTGTCAAAATGTTAAAAAACCTTATATTATATCGATATATTCAAAATATCGATATATTTCATTCGATATATCGGATATATCGATATGACGTTTCGATATATCATATGATTTAATATATCGATATATTTATATTTTTTGCCATCCCTAACCATGACATTCATCAATAAATTTGTTTCATAGTTTAGATCTAATGTATCATATATCCCACGTATTCATAAATTTTAGAATCCTCTTAGTACGCCCCTCGTAAGCTGGCGTCATCGTGGCTTCATTTTGTCTTGGTCACATGTCGCCAGTGATTCTCGGCTTCTTCTCCCTCCTTTCCACCAGCGCTGGCGGTAACCGGTTTCACCATATTTTTCGTTTCTCCTCCTCCGGCGCGCTTGATCGAACGGTCTAACGGATTTTCCTTCCATTCTTGTTCTAACAAACTATCTTTAAGCTTTCCTGCTAATTTTAATTCTCCCAAAAATAAAAAATGACAAAATTAGTGATTCTCTTGGCCTGCATTGCTGCTTTCCATGCTGGTAAGTGCTATTTTTTCAACTTTTTGACTGTTTTGACTTTTTGTAATCGGAATTTATTACCCGTAGCGTTGTGTTATTTTTAGAGCGTGACAGATGTTTCTTTTTGTGCTGTAAAAAAACTGTTAACCTCTTTCTACTATGAATAAATGAATGTTGAATAGTGAGGATTGGTTAACACGTACCTATATTTAAACTTAGGAATTGAACTCGCGGTTCGCATTTTGCGTAGGTTACAGGGCGATTAACTATTCAGTAATTTAATAATTAATTGTTTAAAATACTACCAACAACTCTTAACAATAAAGTTTAAACATGTTTTTTCTTCTCTTTTTAAACTAATAAAATTTAGAAGTAGGTTTAATTAGAATACATTTTTCTATAACCGGCTTCCAAAATGAATATAACGTCAGCCTTGCTCATATTTTTTAAATTAAATAAAAATAAAACATATTTCTTAATATGATTTGTCTATTTTTAAATGTCTCCCATTTTTGAAGCTGTACAAATGCATCAAATCCAACAGATTTACAAATCTTTAGTTAAAACAATTTAATGACATTGAAAAAGGCAAAAATATCAACATTTTAATAAATTTTAAATAGATCTACGTACACAAAAAGAAGTGGCTGTTTTTCACGCTTTTTTCTGTCATCTTTTTTATAAAAAAGGTGTAGCTTTCGAATCATTTAAAATTGGAAACTTTCGTGTTACTAGATACCTCTGTAGAAGTTAAAAGTGTGTCGCCAGTTTTCGGACGTTCGCGTCCAATCTACGTAAAAAATATATTTTTAGTTGGTATCCATTGAGTTTAACGCTGTTTTAATTATATTTTTTTATTTATGACCTTGTTTTTTGCATTGTTTTTATTTTAAAATTATTAAGTAGTTTACGTAGAGATAGAGAGGTAAAAAAGATAAGCATAATGTTAAAAAGGACAATTAACTACCTAATAGAGATAAGTAAATTTAAAATGGAAACTTTAAACAAAGCCTTGACTTTAATACCAAGGCAGGTATGGAGGAGCACGACATTTTGAATATTTTAATACATTAAAAAACAATATGGAATTGGTTTTTTTAGCTATTAAAATGTAATTTTTAATTGATTAGTTTTCCAGAAGGTGCGTCCATTCTAATTATTTAATTTTTTGTTCTAATTATAATTATTCTGGAAATAATTTAAGAATATATTTACTTTTAAAATTCCGAAGAAAAAAGGAAACAATTCGTTAGCTTTGAAAAACTGGATAGTGATTAAATATTTTTAACTTTTTTAAGCATTCCTATAGTTTATATTCAGTATTTAATATTTTAGACTATAACAAACATTTAAAACGTTATAATGGATCAACATAAAATAGGAAAAATTCAAATGGGCAAATTTATGAAAAGAATTTAAATTATTTTAATTTGAAATGTTTGTATTTGTTAGAAATACTTTTTAGGCGATAATTTCATATTACATGATAAATATAACTGGTGATTCATGGTTAACAATCGTTTCATAACGATACCATCAACGTAGCAATAGGAAATTCACCGGCAAAAACAAATTAATATGCATAATACAAGGTTTTACCTTCAACAAATTGATATGTATACATTCAAATCCGTTTAATTTTGACCAAATTTGAACGTTTGATAATATTAGTATTAATTGAAATACAGGGCGATATCGTCTCCTAACCCCCACTCTCGTTTTTAAGTCGGGGTTGTATATGGCGACCATGAAATAAAATACAATTAGTCAATTAGCATTCTAACATAATCAGTAATCGCATTTTATAAACATAAATTACTCATAATTACATCAATGTCACAAATAAATAATTCCTCTCCACCATTTCATAATACTTATCTATTTGTTCTTCTTCTTTTTCTTCAGAAACCACAATGTGGTTCATCAAATTTATCTGATTTTATTCCAAACCAAATCAAAACTTTTCAAGCATGCGCAGTTCATTTCTAAGACATTCCAAGCACTCGTAATACAGAAAGCGATTCTATTTTTAAATTGCGCATGTCAGGAAAGTTTGAATCTTGTTCGGAACATATGCTGGAGCAACCATATTGATAATATTTTTGCCCTTTATTTTTAACAGACTTCAAAAAAGGAGAAGGTTTTCAATTCGTTGTAATATTTTTTTATATATGTTCAGCGATAATTCTTTAACACATTGTCCGATTTCAATGTTTCTTTTTTTGTTAGAAAGAGGGTACTTCAGGGGTGGTCTCATATTAATTTGGTCAAAATCTAATAATTGGGTCCATTAGAAAATCTTCAAACTCTTCACTTTTAATGTATGTTTATTTACCACCTTGTTCAATTTCTATGATTCTGTTTTTGTTGGTAACGGGGTACCTCAGAGGTGGTCCCATATAAATTTGGTCAAATCTAATAATTGGGTCCATGAAAAAAATCGTCAAACTCTTCTTTTTTATGTATATTTAGCGATAATTCTATACCACCTTGTCCGATTTCTATGATTCTTTTTTTGTTAGTAAGGGGGTATCTCAGGGGTGGTCCCATGTTATGTTATGTTGGGAATGGGGTGTTAATACACTGCGACCCTAAAGATCTATTGTGCCCCTTTCTGTCGCCAATACATTAAGGAAATGTCTCAATGCCTATAACTAGCCTTCCAATCCTATTTTCTCAAGCAAGTGTTGGATTTGAAGTGGCTTCAAGTTAGGTAAATCTCCCTCTTCTATTTAATATCCTCCTAGATATAGTGCCCTTGGATTCTGGAGTGCTACACATTCAGTTAGGATGTGAATGGTGGTTTCGTCCTCCTCCTCCTCCTCACAGAATCTGAACTCACTATCCTCTACTACTCTCAATTTACGTCGGTGTCTTTTTAGTCGGCAATGCCCGGTAAGGATCCCTGTTACAATACGTAGCCTGTTCTTGCTCAAGCAGATACAGGCTTCCGATCTTTTCTGGTTATATTCACCCAGAAGTATCTTGGCTGTCTCAGCCCCAAGAGATTGTTCCAATTATCGGTTCTTCTACTGTCCAATTATTTTTTAATCTCTCCTAATATTATGTTACTGCTGATACCGCAGAACGGCTCAGGTCCTACAAAGGGTGTTTGAACCCCTTTTCTTGCAAGACTATCTGCAATCTCGTTACCCTGTACCCCGGGGGTAGTCCCATATAAATTTGGTTAAGATGTGGTGACGGCATCCGCTCGATTTTGAAGTCGGTTTTTTAAAATTACTTTTAATACTTGTAATATCTCTAGATCTCTCTATCTGTAAAGGTTTGATCCATCGTATTTTTGTTGCATCTGAGTACAGTCAGTGTAGGTGTATGAGGCATCAGTCACTGCAATTTCTTATTAGGTTTCTCTCGTAAGGTTTGTTAAAACAAAACGTATGCCCTTTACGTGGATTGTTCAGTGAAACTGTCATCATAGTATCATCTATACTATATTCAGCATTAGAATAGTATTTTGTGCAACAAAAGTGGATATGATGGCAATATCGTTTGAGTACGATACGGACAATCCACTCGAGTTGTACAATATATTTTTTCTACGACCCACTTAATAAAATTAAAAATTTTTAAAAAATAATTTAGTTTTTAATGTGATAAAATAACAATCTTAAAAATAATTAAAAAAAAGTTTAGAATTTATAAAATTAAAAAAACTCGAAAAAAAATCACTCACTCAAATAATAAATATGAGCTGTGATTGGTGGATTTAATATGCTCACTTGTTCGTTCTGTAGGCTATGCACAAAGTGGATATATGGGTGTAGAAAATTAACAAGAGTGAATATGATAGCCATATCGCACGAGTTTCAGCACGATGATATAGGCGTAGTACTCACTCGTCAGAGCCCAATACGGATAGACAATCCACTCGAATTGAAGAGTATTTTTTTTACGACTTACTAAAGAAAATATACAAATTTTAAAAATTAATTTAGAGTTATTGAGATGCAATAAATATTTTAAAAATAACTTATGATTTTATTAATTTATATAATAAAAAAAATTAATTAAATTGGTTTTAAACAGTTTTATTAAATTTTACGATTTATTTGTAAATATAGACGAATATCTTGTAGAATAATAATATTTATCGATTCTTTATACGAATCACTCATTTTTATCTATATTTAATCTTAATTACTATAAAATATACTGTTAATCAATTTGACAGAATTGTCACTTATTTAAAATTTAAAAAAAGATAGTTGCCTGGTTACCTAATATGTACTGTAATTGGAGGATTTCATATCCGTAGGACGGATATAAAATGTATTTGTTCAGTTGAACAATGCAATGGCCTACTTTTTTATTCTGTTATTATACAGTATGGTTCAAATGAGAGGAATAAATTCATTATAATGGAAGTAGTTGGTTTTTCGAAAAAATTTTTTAAGTAGAATTCCATTTTCCCCCACTTCCCATTTTTGGGTAGTGACGTCATTGGCAATTTTTTTAAATAGTAACCCCAATTTTTTTTTCTTGATTTTGTTAGATCTTGCAATTTCCTACTCGGAAACATAATATTTGAAATATCTTACATAACAATTTTTTTTGAATAAAAGTAATTTAAAGATCAGACACATAAATTTTATTTTATTTTGAGAACACAATAAATGAATAAAAGATAATTATTTGTAATTAAGTGCTTAATTAAACAAAATAATATTATTATTATTAATAATAATAATAATAATAATAATAATAAAAAAGAATTTGTGAAATTGTCATTAAATTCTTTTTATTATTATTATTTTTTTAGATGAAGCACTTAATTACAAATAATCTTTTATTTATTTATTTATTGTGTTTCAAAATAAAATAAAATTTATGTATCTGATCTTTAAATGACTTTTTTTCAAAAAAAATTATTTTGTCAGATATTTCAAATATTATGTTTCCGAGTAGAAAATTGCAAGATCTATCAAAATCAAGAAAAAAAAATTGGGGTTACTATTTAAAAAAATTGTCAATGACGTCACTGCCCAAAAATGGGAAGTGGG